CTTTTAGTTGATCAATTTAAACTCGACATCTCTTATCATTAGCAAGTTTTCCAGTCCGTTGTTACACAAATTCTAGTCTGTGCCCCAGAAATTATAATATACACATCAGAATTATATATATATATATATATATATATATATATATATATATATATATATATATAATGTATTTGCAGAAATATGCATCCATAGACTCATATTGATTGAGATATATAATGCGTGTGTATGCACAAAGAAAATTTAATAACCAACATTGTACCGATGTAGATATATCATGGTATTTTGATATAGTTTTATTTTTGCCGTACGTCTCCGAATATGAACACAATATCTCAATTTGTAAATAAAAAGCCTTTGGATTTCGCACATAATCTCACGAATTCATTGGTGTGTTTTAGAAAAAATAACGAAATAAATTAAGTATAAGCAAAATTCAAATGCCGGCAGATATCTAGTAACATAGTAGTGTCTTTCTCTTTTTTTCATTTAATGTATGTTAAATAAAAAATAACATTCGAAGCCATTGCTATTATCCTAAAATAGAATAGATTCATTAGTCACGTTAAAAGTTACGTTTCAGGCCGAGGGCTGCGCAGTAACTTTGATAGCAAAAAAATCTATCAGCGGTTAAGTAAGCGAGGCGAATTCGTTAAAATTAGCCATGAGCAGCGGCGTAACATCAGGCGGGAGTTCTGAAAGCATTTTTTTTCTTTTACTCAATCTCTCCTTCTGTGAGCTTTCATATATATATATATTATCTCTTTCTCTCCCACTTTCTCTTTAGAAATTTTTTTCAGAGTTTACTATGAATAAATATATTTACACTTTAGCAGTAAAGAGGCTTCAAAATTCTATTGGCTTTAATAAACACATTTTCTATCTCAATATTTTCACATTATTTTACTGTTTTTACTGCGTACATCATTTCTTAGCTACGTATTTGTCATTCTTAATTGTACTATGTTGAAAGTGGTAAATGCCTATGGCTAACAATATATCTAATGTACACACATGCCTCTTTAAAACACTTTTCATTGACTTATATATCGTCTTCTATATATTAAAATTTAATTAAAAATTAAAATTCCGAAGTAAAAGTATAATAAACCTTAACTAATTTATAACAACATGCTCATATTATAATTCTTTTAGATGTAGAATTTCAGAGTATTGTGTTTACAAGCATTAGAAGCAAAATTTGGTCGCCTTAAGCATTGTCGTTTTCTCGGTAAGATCCAGTAAAAATGGTTGATTTTTGTTTTTGCAATGTAAATTAATGTAAAATATATTGAATATATTGGGATAATACCTGTTGGACTGTTGTTTGAAAATTTTTCCCTCAATCAGCCATCATATTTCTGCAGATGTTTTGTCAATATTAATCAATATCACAAAATGTACATAAACTCTTTAAATCAAAACCCGAGATTGGTTCGCCGATTTCATATTGTTTTTGTTATCTGTCACAGAAAAATATAAAAGAGGTCTTCCAAAAAAACAAGATAATATGAAATATGTTTGGTAATTAAGAAAACAGTGCTGAATTGCTATGTAATACATAATCCTCTATGTGGCAATGATTGCTGGACAATGTCCTTTAAAATGAAGAGACTTGAAGCAACAAAGACGTGGTTCTGCCGGGAAATACGAAGAAAGCCATAGCAGAACATGTGAGTAACGAGGAAGTTTTAAAGAAAATAGGAAAAGCAAGTAAATTCATACGTAGAATTAGAGACAAATGAATTTTCTGATATACATAATCAAGAAAGGTGGGGGATTAGAGAATTTACCCATCACAGTACATAATGGAGAAGAGAGAAGCAAGAAATAGTAAGAAAATTAAAACTCTTTTATGAATGAATGTCAGATCAGTGACGAAGATGAATAGTATTGGTTACTTAGAGCTATAAAAGATATGAAGAGATGGTTGTCTACGTTCTGGAAGGATTTAGCACATATAAGATAGAGAACAGTTACAGCTAATCAGTAAATGCAGGCATAAGTAAATAGAAACTGGTACATCCTGTGTGCTAGACAATAGGAAGCAGGTAAATATAAATATACATATATCAGACGATGATAAACAGAAAATAATATCGCATAAACAGAAAATAATATCGCATTCTCATAGCGATAAAAACAGATGCAAATGAAAGAAACATTTTAATAAATGAAAGTATCGTCCATATTATTAATTATAATAGCCTAATAAAAAGTGTTGTTTTTTTTGTTAAAAAAACACTCGAGCTTATTTTTAAAATAAGTTTTTTTTTTTTTTTTTTTAAATAAGACCGTACTATAGGTACTCCCATTTTTGAATATCCTGAGATTAAGAACATCTCTAGTGATAGTGCGGAAAGTTTCCCAGATTACTGATGTTAATTTTACTTTTTTTTATTTTCATGAATGGAGAAACGAATCTTATCTATTTAGCAAAAGTGCGCATTTATAATCTAATGCACCTCGATCATGCTCACACTGTTAATAATGAGGCTTATCTGTGCTAAAACCTATGGATGCTGTGATTCATAATTGATCATATTTGTAATGTTTTATCAGACACTGAGAATATCCTTCTGTAAATGAATATCTGTTTTTGTGTTTTTTTTGTTGTTTTTTTTTCATATTAATATAACTTTGACATAGGATGTCATACTGTCTTGTATTTGTTTAGGGAATAATGTATCCATTTATCATCCCTGTAAATTAAAAGTATTTTTTTTTCTTTCTGGTCAGCAAATGCTTAAAAATAACTGCATATTATGCTCGATTCCCTGATGGCAGGTAATAGGAAACCTCAGTTCCACTCTTTTCTGGGACAGCGTGCGATTCGTAATAGCTTTAACATTTTATTAAATATTGGTTACTTTGACGATAATGTGCTTTAAAAGAGCCGTTCATATGACTACCACACATATTGGTCCTTGTCACAAATACTTATCAGAGCGCTTCAGAGTGGAATAATATTCAGCGAGATAATTTGGTTGACCAGTGGCATTAATGACTATATGGTTTTCACATACTTGTAGCCGTTTTCCAATTTATGCTACACTAAGCTTAGTCAGTTGTAACAAGTGGGAGTCCCTCACATCATAGCAGCAGAAATAACTTCACGGAAATAAAAGCATACGTCGTAGAAAATAAAACATGCGGTGATAACAGTGAAGGTATGGTAAATTGTACATTCATATTATACAATTCATTTATTTATTATGTATACTGGTGTGTGTATTTTTGGTTCATGGTGCATTGAATGAAAGAAAGAAAGAAGTTACTTCGTATTATTACACGCCATGTCAGAGAGAGAAGTTAACTGTCCGAGGGTTCGTGGCGACGAGGTTTAATTCAACGTCTTTTGACGGGATGTCCGTATTTCCGGTAGGAAGAGTTATTGTTGCATGCTGGGAGAATTTTTTAAAATTTTATTTTAACTTAATTTATTTTAAACAATGTTGAAATATTATTGTTTTATTTTATTTATTATTATTATTATTTTATATTTTATTTTTATTTATTTCTAATAATAATATACCTACAAATAAAGATGCTTATATGAAAGATTTCAGTTATTCTTTTAAGACTTACAAACAATCGCTAACATTTAAAAACAATAATTTCATCAGAGTGCATATTAATAAGTATTGTTATTGTCCATGTTACATTATTATCATTATGAAATCCATACATAGAGGATTTCTTCAGTCAGTGTAGGGATGTTCAAATTGTTATTTGTAGTAGAAGAAATCTGTTCTAAGTTGATAAATACTGCTAGGGAACCAACCATAAGTATGAACATAGATATTTATCTTCGGGCTGCTGCTGATAAAGGCAAGATACATTCAAATAATGATTTAATGTTGTTTGAAAAAATTCCATTTAAATATTTATAACATTTTCAGTTCAAGTTCAAGCAATAAATTTATGAAAATTTTTCAGGATCAATTGATAAAATATTTTGAGAAAAAATAAAAAGTAATTTGCACTCTGATTTCGAAGAGAAAGCACACGTGTCTGACATTTGAAGAAGATCCCAAACGAGACAAAATCTACTTACTTATAGTTCTACAGACACGCAAAAAGAGGGCTTCTGTTTTAGACAGAACGTTATATTGGATGAAATCCTTTCTTCATTTAGTTTATTTCTCAATCGGAAGCTATCTTTGAGGATCTTTCACAGGTAAATTTAATTTTAATTCGTGTTTTAGCCACGGAAGCGTTAACTTTCGTTTCCCGTCCAGTTCACTGCACATTGAATGACAAATAATAATGCATGTTAAAGTCGTTGTTTATCATAGTTAAACGTTACTGCAAAATAGAAGAGACGTTAAACCAATTAAATTGCTTGCTATTTAGTCTTGATTCTAAAGAACCTTATTTACTTTTGACATTAATAATAATAGCTAGAAGTTCAGTCAGTTATGTGCCATGCGTGATACATTACTGACGAGGTAGATTTTTCCCGCAATAGGTTGCCATTTCTTTCTGTGGTAGACCAGGCACCATCCAAGGCCATAGCTGGGGAGAATAAGAGGATTTATATTAGCACACAAGAATGTAACGGATTCGACTGGAATTCGACTCCGATTCTTCATTCCGAGCCGCTATCCATTACTGCATCATGCGTCTTATGTTAACGAACCGTATTTTCTATGAATATAATAGAAAACATTTAAAGATAGTCAAGAAATATCTTTCAGCAGATAAAAATGAAAATCAGTGTCTAAATCTCAAAAAAGGTATATTAAAATGCATGTAATTTATGATTAATCTTAGCGGTGAGTAAACAAATCAATCTTTGATATAACATTTTCATATAATGAATGACCAATATGTTTAACAGTTTGTCAATACATTTCTTTTCACAGAATATAACTTACAAACTTTTGTTAGATGTCTTCCGTCATCTCACGCGGAAAACAATCAATTAAATTCATAAGCTTTTAATATCTTTTATACGACGAAAAATTGAGTATATAAATATCTATTTTATTATCGCTGGCTTACGTTCATAATCACGTTGAAACACGGGATTTCGTATGATAACCGAACTTAAGCAACGTCGAGCCTGATCAGTATCTAGATGGGTGACTGCTTGGGATTACCAGGTGCTGTAAGCTTGGCTGTGAGATTGATGTGATGGATAAACGCTCGAAATCGGAGAGCACAGTTCTAATTCCAGTCGGGTTCATTAAATTCACTTAGGCACAATATACCCTTTAGGAAAAATATTAATCCATCTTTTCTCCCCCTCAGCTATTAGATAATTATTATATCCCCACATTTATACACATCTTGCGGCCTCAGCCGAGATTGAACTGGATTGCCAACTGGATTTAAATGGATTGCCAACCAAGGCTCAGAGAGACTCCATTCACCCTCCTATAAGAGCAGGTTTGAATTTAGAGTTTTCCTTCTCCTAGAAGGAAGTTGCCATCCAAGGATATAGAACCCAGTCTGTCCTTACATAGCTGGAGGGAGAAGAAAGAGGATTCACACCTTTCCCAAGCACGTAAGTAATGGAATTCGAACTCGGCTCTCCGATTCCTCAATCCAAGCCGCTATCCATTACTCCACCGTGCCTCCTCCATTTATATAACCAACAATTATTTTCTAAATAATCCACAAAAGGTTGATAGGCCGTAAAAATAAATAAATAAATCAAATCAATTTATTCTCACTATCATAATACAATCAGTTCTCACACAAGTACATACTAAATATACATTTGCACATATGCAAATACAATCTTCCTAAATAACTTAATCATTCTAAATTTTGTAGATAAGAACATGTGCTTCATTATTTATTTTAGATTGATCGCTTTCATTTATTTTTATTAAGTTACATGTGTAAGATATATTTTATTGTATTTGATAATTATTTTACGCTATTGAAGACCATGTCAGTAACGACACGTATGCTATAAAAGCAACCAAATACACATTTCAGCCCAGAGATTACAGTTGCTACATGAAAAGTCATGTTGCTGCGTTATGCAACATGTTTAAATATGAGATTGAAACATGTTTAAAGATTAAGAAATATGAAATGTTTATTGCATTCTTTTCACTTGAACAAATAAAAAAAAAGATTTCTCTAGTTTATCACCAATTATTTTTAATGAATTCACGTTAGAAATTATCAAGCGCATTTAATTCAATTCAATTTCGATCTGATTAAATTTGTTGAAATTTAATTTTTGTTTTGCACGCTCTTGTTTTTCATATATATGCGATTAGTATTTATTGTTTGACTTTACATGAGAAATTATTAAAAGTATTGATAGGATCATATATAATGTACATTTAACAATCAAAACTTCATTTTATAAGTTGGACTGCACAGCCGCAGTTCATGACTTGTTAAATTTTAATGAAAAGTAGTCAGTAATGCATACGTTAAATAAATGATATCCCAATTTTAATTGTAATAGATTGTTGTGGATTTCGGGTTGAAATCCGGTACCAATAAATAACAAAGGCCAGGAATGAATATAGGAAGATAATGTATTAACTGGTAAAACTGGTAAAGCAGGATAGTAGTTCCAGGAATACGGGTTAGTCGCAAAATATATATACAGTCTTTGGTATTGAAGTGTGACTGTGTGACTTCATATTGAGTCTACGGGCTCGCTCACTGTGACTCCTACAACGCTGTTACTCACTCTTCCGGTTACCTACAACCTTTTACTCTGTCACTCTGGACTTGACTCGACTCTAGCTCTGTTCGTCGGGTATTCACTCGTAGTAGTATAAGTATACACTGGGTGAGTCCATTTTTATAAAAAGGGGTGGACCCCTTAACATAGATATTTCTTTATCTTAGCGTAATCCGTTAAAAGGTCAAATAGAGTTAAAATGTATTATGTCAGTCTTTCTGATGTAGAACACCATGCAACCATATAAGTACATGGAAAATTCTTGCTTTCCTTTGTCACTTACTCAGGTAATGAATTCTGCAGTTATTTAAGTAAAAGCAAATTCAGAGGAATAAAAAGTTAAGATAAAGTTCACGAATAGTTAGCCTTTAATGCATTGCTTTATACGAAGTCTTCGGATGGCTCATTTTGCTCCAAGTTTTAAATAACTTAATGAAAAAAGTTTTTAGTTGTTTATAATAAGCATATTTAAAAATAAAATATGCTGTTTCCCTCATTCACTATCTCTTCCTCCATTCTCTCTTTCTCTCTCTCTCTCTCTTTCTCTATCTATCTATCTATCTATCTATCTATCTATCTATCTATCTATCTAACTCTATACAAATATACGAGAGTTGATCAAAAATACCTAGACTTGTGCTATAAAACTACAACACATATCAATTCAGTACTTAATCTCTTTCGAAGTAGTTCCCTTCTGAAGCCACACACTTAATCCAGTGTCTTTTCCATTGATGGATGCATTCCTGGAACTACATTTCTTTCTTCTTCTTCTTTTTTTTTTTTTTTTTGGATAGCAAGCACCTGCCTCGTCGCATTCTCTTGAATTTTCTCGACGTCCTGAAATCTTGTTCCTTTCAAGTGTGAATTTATTTTGGGAAAGCGGAAAATGTCGCAAGGGGCGAGATCTTGGGAATGCAGTCGTTTTCAGACCTGGGGACAAAAACTGCTGCACACGCCATGGTCGCTGGTGAAACATCATTGATCTGGTTAAATGAATACATTCTACAAACCATTCCTTCCAAACGCTGCTATAAACAACGGAAATAAGCGAGAACGTTATAACTTAATATGCATGCGCGCAACAGAGTTCGATGTCTATGTACCAAGAAGCATCCCTCTGCATACTTTAAGTCCATTAACATAGGAAGTAGTGAAATTTTCTTCAAAGCTTCCCTCTTCATGGATTGTTTCTTATACATATCTAAGACTCCATGCCAAATGTGAAGCTGATAGAATTTGGTTTAGTCTGTAGAATTTGCAACCGAAATTTAAAAATGTATTTATGCTATGTTGGTGCGGTGTAATATACATTGTTTATATTCAGTTTTGTTCATTCACTGACTCTTTCACGTTTCTTTTCAGGTTAACTGATCAATTTGCTATTGAAATAGATACTGTATTAAGAAGAGCAGCCACAAATCATGCATTGTTTCTCTGCAGTGTTCTTCCAGTGGAAAGGCGAGATGTTAAAGAACTGCTTGCGATATAAATGTGATGAAGGGAATTTTGCAGATGTTTCACTGATTATGAAGATAGCCACCCAGGTTGGTTCAGAAACATTGGAAAAGCAGTTGGAGATAGACTGTTCCTCTTCGTAAGCAGAAAACTATTGAGGAAAGGTTGAGGAAATTGTAAAGTAGAAGAATTGAAGTTAATGATAATTTGGGCGAAAAACTACATTTGGGGAAGAAATGAAGGCATTGTTTGATATCTGTAGCTGTTACTGTCCTCTTGTCTCCTGTCAGGATATGAAGTACAAAGTTAAGAAGTGTGACGGATATCACCTGACCTGTAATTGTGATATAAAGGTTCCACAAACGTGAGGTGTAGTTCCTCTTTGACCAGCGAGATTATAGGAAGAAGAAAATTGCAGGGATTGACATGCAAGTGGCTATAATGTTGGACGGGTTGACTCTAAGAGAGAAGTATGATGCGGACAGAGTCAAGACAGCTTAATCAAAAACAGAGATCTAGTAGCTGGATATATTCCTTATGTTGAAGATATTCGGATGATTCAAGATATCGCTCCTATCAATACTGATGCTGATTTCGTCCCAGATCCAAAAGCTCTGACAGACACCAGCTCATATAACAGACTCTCCGCACTGACTGCCGCTTATGACCCATACTTAATTAGTGATTATACCGGAGCTGTCTTTGCTAATGCTGCCTTAACTGACTATGGCATTATCACAAAGGATGCCAAGAACCACATAAGCTACGAGATGAAAGACAAAAATATCACTTGAAGAGGCAAGAAATGCAGGTGGCTAGTTTTGAAAATATAACGTCAATGTATTTGATGGTAAGAAGACCGACACTCGTGTGATAAGAAAGAATGAGAAAACTAATAAATGGAGTTCGAGGATGATGGTGCAAGATGATTATGTCATCATGGTTGAGCCTGGCAATGAATATCTCACACATGTGACACCCAATGCTAGACACGGAAAGCAGATTGCCAAAACTATTCACGAGTTTCTGGTGGAGAAAGATCTACCCAGTCCATTGTATGTGTTGGTAATGATGGAACCAATTTAAATGTATGTAGCAACATCAAGACCCAACCATGAACTGTAAAGAATCCCCATTACAAAGTTCAGTGCTCCAGTGTAGTTCTACATCACGATACACACTTATATAACCCAATCACTGCTAGATACGAAAAACCTGAATAGCAAAGAGAGTACAATAGTGAAGAAGACTGTTCAAATAAATGCATACTTCTCCGACACAGATCAACTTCTTCTTGGTATGTGTGCAGATGAGGACGTGACTGTTAGAGAAAAAGCTGCCACAATAAGAAAAATTAAAGAGGAGAATCAACAGATGTAAGAATTCACTGACAGATCTCGTGACGAGGAAGATTCTGCTGCTGCTGTTGACGAGAACTTATTAAACTACACTGATGATGAGAAAAGTGAAGATGGAGGTGGGAATGAGGATGTGCTTGAGAAAATTGGTGACACCCTAGTCACCAATTTTCTCAAGGCAGTGGCATGCAAAAAACTATCATTACATGATTAACTGGATAAATGGACTCAAGGCTGACCCTCTTTACATTGATTCTCTCTCAGATCAACAGGGTAATAACATTCTTGAGACACCATTAGTAGTGTCCAAGTGGCCAAAGAGTACTCAGGCCGTCGAAAGATGGATAAAAGTGATGACTGAAGCTTGCACTGAAGTGACGGGTTACAAAGCGAGAGATGAATATATTAGGCAATGTTTATTGTCACGGAAAATGATGCCCACATTCCACACAAAAAATTAGCCTCTTTCTTGGTCTACAGTAAAAGTAGACAAAAATGGATCGTGATGCTGCAATGAAAGTGGACATGAAATCGCCTGAATTTTTTCACAGGCTTTTGTTACAGTCATACAAACGATGCCTGGAAAGTGCAGCTTGCAAATAAAAAATGTGTTTTTTCACTGCTTCCTACCATTATCATTG